AATGCTTCTTGGCAGGAGAAGGTGGGGGGGGGAATCAATGGTGACTGGAGATAGGACAGACTTTTAAAAGGGGTTTCTTCTCTGCTGAGTTCTAAAGAGTGGTATGATTCAGATAGATAGTGATGGTGAACAGGTCACATAGGAAGAACAACTCAGAGAATGAGGCACCCAGACAAAAAGGCGCAAGGAGTAGAGAACAGGTGGCCCATGGTGTCATCCAGGTGTGATATGATAAAGGCCTGGCCAAAGCTTGTGGCTATGATGAAGGGGAAGAGTGAACAGGCTGGAAAGCAGTTGTGCATGAAGGATCCTCTGGGCTGGCTTATCCTGCAGCACTTCCTGGCTACGCTTCCTCGGAATTGAGCAACGCTTATCTCCTTTATCAGATGGGAACCTCCCTGAGACAGGGACGTGTCTGCTGTTCCTCCCCATCATACACCAAGTATGTCACATGATCCTATTGCAACAAAATATTTATTGAGGGGAAGATGGGTTGATACACAAACAGATTAGAGAAAAAGGAATGGAGACAGCAAAGGTGATTCTGGGGCCTTTTAGACATGTTGAGTTTCAGGGTGTAAGGGGACAACCGAGGGGACAACTTTCAAAAGGGTTTTGGAGATGAGGGAAAGACGATTTCTAGCCTACCACAAAATTAAGCAGGTATGTCTGTTCTGTGTAGATACGGAAGACATGATCAGTAGTTAGCATGTCTCAAGAATGCTTTGCGATGGTAACATACTACATATGCAGTGTAGAAAATTGACTTTACGGGATGATAGAGATATCTGGGTATCCTTTCCCTCCATTTCCAGTGCTACTGTTCAGACATCTTCCTGACCAGGACAAACATTTGGGACTATGCCACATGTTCTGAACAGAGAGGCATCTCTACCCTGAGGAGCTCCTCTAGTTACCTGACCTCCTACAATCACAGGATGAAACAGAAAAAGAGTGATCATTCAATCCAGATTGCGAGAAGAAAAGAATACACATCAAAAGTGCAGCCCCCCAAGTCCCCTTGGCTACACCACACATCCACAGGGAGCTCCCCCATTCCCAGGAGACGTGGGAGTATTCCTTGGTCTTATGCCATAATTCATGTGGAGAGCTGAATCATTTTTCCCAGTGAGTCTCTTAGTGGCTATGTTTTTTTTCAGTCTTGCTCTCCTGGGGTCAAGTGACCAAGCAGGCTTTGGTGGATAATGGGAGTACAGAATTTAAGGAATTACACAAGTGCTGGAGGGTTTCCACCGAGCTCCCTGGTAACAGCAGCCAGGTGACAGGGAACATTTTAAAATTAAGCTGCTTTAGTCAGAAGAGGAAGCAGAATGATGATTTCATTGCAGTTAACCGTTTCTCTCCCAATAATGAGATAAATGAAGGGTGAAAGTTCAGTGTGTGCCCCTGGAATTCAACTGGAAAGAGTTAATGAATTGGGTCACATGGATCTCAGAAGAAAATCAATTACCCAGACGAACAAAGAGAGGTCACCTTTGAAGAAGGGAAAAGTCAGGCAGATTTTTGCATTCTGAGCTTCCCAGAAACCTGTAAGCCAGCCTTATTTCCTTCCTTCCTTTCTTCCTTCCTTCCTTCCTTCCTTCTTCCTTCCTTCCTTCCTTCCTTCCTTCCTTCCTTCCTTCCTTCCTTCCTTCCTCTCTCTTTCTCTCTTGGTGCAATGGATAAACTCAGGGCCTCATGCGTGCAAATCACATGCTATATCTTTGACCTAGACACTCAACTTGCAGAGACCTTTATTCTAACAAAACCTATAACTTCCCTTGGACAGGCACAACTCCTTTGCCTCAATCCAAGTGGTTTGATGGAGAAGCCAGGCCCAGGCCCCAGGGTGGGCAGGTACCCAGGCCTACTTGTGGGGCATGATGCCTGGCTTGAGAGAGGAGAGGCTGGAGAAGTTGGGGTAGGGAATGGCACAGACCTCAACAATCAGTCCAGGAGAATCCTGGCATCTGTAGCTACGGCCATGTCTGAGTATTTCAGAAATGTATGGACTCAGCCTCTAACATAGAAATAAGAAAGGATGGCCAGCAGTCCCTTGTTCAGCAAATACAGTCACAGTGACACTAAACACAACCATTAGGGACTGAATGTGTGTGTTCTCCCCAAATTCATATGTTGAAATCCTAACCCGTAGGTGAGTAGGTGACACCGTAGGAGGTGGGCCTTTGGGCTATGGATGGGATTCGTGCCCTAGTCAGAAGGGATGTGAGAGCTTCCTTTCTCTCTGCTCTCTCCAATGTGAGGTCACAGGAGAAGGTGGCCTTCTGCGCATCAGGAAGAAGGCCCTCACCAGGACCTCAACTGTATTCACCTTGACCTCGGATTTCCCAGCCCCCAGAACTGTGAGAAATAACTCTATCATTTAAGCCACCCAAACTGACTACGACAACAAGCTATTTTGTATAAGAACTATTTGGGTATCTTATGTGTCCCCTTTACCGGGCTATGAAACCAGGGACAAAAAATTCCATACTGCCTGTGTGTGTGTGTGTGTGTACATGTGTGTGTATCTCCCTCCCTCCCCTACCCTCTCCCCACATTCTGTCTTTCTCTCTCTGTCTCTTTAATCTTATATTCCCAGAGCACCCAGCACAGATTGGTTTCATACATGATATCTTTAGATATACTCATTAAAATGAATCAATCTCAGCTCCACTCAGGCATGGGTGATGAGTCCCCCAAAATGAATATAGAACTTCTGTCCCAACTGAGTATACTGGAACATACTTGTGATCCCAGCTACTTGGGAGGCTGAAGCAGGAGGATTACAAATTAAAAACCAGCCTCAGCAACTTAGCCAGACCCTGTCTCAAGATAAAACAGAAAGTGCTGGGAATCTAGCCCAGTCATAAAGGAATTCTGGGTTCAATGTCCAGCGCTAGGGTGGAGGTGGGGTAGACAGAACTGCTGTCTGAGAGGTTTCAAAACCTACCCAAGGTTGCATGCACTTCATGGATCCATCCTGAAATGGATAACTTTATGGAAATCATTAGTTCACTTGCTGCAGACCTCCATGAGACATAAGCAGAAGAGTTTATTTCCTGAGGAAAGGGTCATTCTCCCCTACTGGATAATAACACCTCTGTAAATGACCATGTTTCCTTCTTTGCTTTGACTATCAGAAAGCTCTGAGGCAAATTTACTGTAGAGTTATTTTAACTGTGTCAACCCTTTCTGCTTCACGCCTCCCCACTCTGCATTCATTCTGATTTTATTTCTCTGGACCTGCTATTCGATTTTAAATTTATATTTTGTCATTATGTATTTGTAGAACAAGTTTATAGCATAACATTTAGAATATTAATCAACCACTTCTGGCTCAAATAATAAAATTTTCAAAGCTCTTGGATGCCCAAGGCAACAATGTTAAGTGTCTAACAAAAACAAGGGGCTATTTGCTTGACTCCTTGTGGGGAGGATGTTGAACCCAGAGACACTTTATCACTGAGCTACATCCCCAGAACTTTTTATTTTTTGTTTTAGGAGAAGGTCCCACTAAGTTACTTAGGGCCTCACTAAATTGCTGCGGCTGGCTTCAAACTTGCGGTCCTCCTGCCTCAGCCTCCTGAGCTGCTGGGATTACAAGTGTGCACCACTACACTCAGCTTGCTAGACTCTTGTAAGATAGACTGGTTTGTTTTCCTAAAACTTAAGTCCTGCTTTAGAGAGGATACTGGTGGCGTGAGCTGTGGCTGGGCTTCTGCCTTGGGCAACAAGGAGTTATTTAATCTCTTTTCTGAGAGGAGGCAGCATTTGAATTAATTGCTTAGTGCTTGGTATCATTTTGAATAAGGTGCTCTGCAGTCCTTGCTTTCTTAGAACACTAATCCTCACCTTGGGGAAAGGTGAGGGTGCTTTCTGTCCTGTGAGGCCATTCCTCTTGGAGGTCTGCCGAAGTCACTAGAAAATAGTAGAGCCAGTTATTGGCAAAGGGACACCACCCTGGATATCTGAACACAACTTACAGAAACCAAACAAGAGACAGATAGAAGTTGGGGGCAAGAATCTAGGACTTGGGGGGGGGGGCGGGGGGCACCGGACCATCCGGACTTCCGGGAGAGATTGAGGAAACATCTGCAAGGTCAAGGCAGGAAGTCCAGGAGCTGCTTCCCAGAGAGGGACGTGCCTTTCTTGGGACTATAGCTACAGAACCCGAAATGCTGCCTAACCCAGGCCAAGGGGACTGCATGACAGTCAGGGAGTAGCTTCCAAGAAGTTTCAAGAATCTATCAGCTCAACTCAACTCCAAATCCTTCAGCCACAGAGAGGTGAGGACAGATCTGGGGAATTTGGTACCCAGCGAATTCTGCATGAGCCAGGCCAAGAAGTGGCTCCACATTAATTGCAGTACAATAAAGAGTCTGTGTTCAGGAAATCTCTTCGTTGTTTTTGCTTCTGTTCCCTCCCAGCCTTTGGCAGCCTTGGCACTGTGAAGGCTAATCATCAAAGGAAGAGCAGACAGGTCCGTTGCAGAGTGATAATCAAGCAGTTGCTGAAAACTTTGAAATGCTAGTGCTTGGAAAATACAAGATTTACAAAACTCCAACCCAAGAACAGATAATTGGCCAGAAAAACACATCCAGGAGGGGCTTGGACGGCTTTGGGCATGAAAGGAATGTCTCCCTTCAGCTTCATGAGGGCGTGGTGAGACAGCAGTGGAGTAGGGACTGGACGTGGGACCCCCACGGCAAGACCGTCCCACTTGCAAGACATCTCCTACTTCTCTAAGCTGGTATAGCCTGCATGCACCTCAACTTTGCTTACTGCATCCCCTTTTCACACTGCTCCACAGAGGAAGCCCCCATTCAATGTTCTCATTTAGAAGCACCACCTTTGGGACCCTGACACTAGATCAGTCCAGCATTGTTCAGCCTGACAGATGACCCAGCCTCCCGGTTTTCTTAAAATAACGAGAGAACATTTGCTCTCTGGAAATACAAGGCTGCATCCAAATTTAAAAAAGAAAAGTGGGAGAGGAAAACATTCAAACAAAACTCTTGGAATGGGGCTCCTGTGGTAACATACCGAATAAAGGAAAACAGGAAAGCAATTGCAATATTAAAAATAGATGACTTCCTGCATGGGAATTCTTTGCTGACCTTGTTGATTGGAGCATGGTCCACATTTTCTGGCTTGCCATCTTCTGACTTCATGAGAGTTCATACCAAGGGACAGTTCTCAGGGCTCAGAAATCCACCTTCATCTTAAAAGCATTTGTTGATACATCTGCCTACTGACACCAGACCTTTTCTCTTTGATCCTTGATAACTATCAGAGGCCAATTCCTTATGTTTTGCTTCATTTCTGTGTGTCCAAGAGGAATGTAATGAATATGGTGAATACCTCTGAGGACCCTGGAGCAAGGATGGGTCCTGCACATTTCATGGTGCATTTGATGGTATCAGAGTCCACTGCCAACGGGACATGAAAATAATCTTTGAGACAGTAATGCATCATCTGGCTGAGACAGCGCTCCCCACCCGGTGCATCCTTGACCCTGTGCACTCACCACAAGTCCTGCCAACTGGCAAGATAGCTCCTGCTTCTCTGAGTTGTTGTGGCCTGCAAGCACCCAAACTTAGCTTGTTGCATCCCCTTTTCACACTCAAAAGGCATCAAGCCCCCAGTGAATTTATATTTAGTTCAGAGAAGTAGACAATAAGCAGTAAGTACAGTAAATAAGTCGATTGCATAGACTATCATAAAATAGACACCTAGAAAAAAAAAAGAAACAAAAGTTAAGGGGGAATGGTCAAGAAGATAGTACTAACAAGACACAGTGGGCCTTAGCAAGAAGGCAGATATCTTGAGAGGGTCCAGGCCAACACAGCAGCCCTTGAAAATGCCCCGAGGCAAAATCATTATCATCAGTGTGTTAGTCAACTTTGCATCACAATAACAAATATCTGAGAAAAACAACTTAGGGAAGATATTTATTTGGGCTCACAGTTGCAGAGGTCTTAGTGGGAGGTCGGCCAGCTCCACTGCTCTGGGTCTGAGGTGAGGCAGAAGGGTGTGGTGGAGGAAAGCTGCTCAGCTCATGGCAGCTGGAAAGCAGTAAGAGAATGAGGAAGGGGCCAGGGACAAGATCTAGTCCCCAAGGTCAGGCTCCCAGTGACCTACTTCTTCCAACCATGCTCCACCTGTCTACAGTTTCTACCTCCTCACAGTATTCCTTTCAAAGTATTAATCCACTAAATGGATTAATTCACTAAATGGATTAATCCACTGGTGAGGTCAGAGCCCTCATGATCCGATCACTTCCCAAGAGTCCACCTCTGAACATGTGAGACTTTGGGAGACATTCCAGTTCCAAACCATAACAATCCATCAATCATAGGATTTAGCCTCTCTCTCCTCCCCTGTCCTGGAGGCCTCTCATAAGTGGGCAGCGGGGGAAGGGCCCTGACGCAGCAGGAGCAGTGGTGAAATGGATCTGACAGGGTAGCTTTTGGAACTGGCGTGCACAGGGATGGAAGGAGAGGCCAAGGGAACAAAAGGAGCAGAGCAAAGGAACTACTTCCAAGATTCTGCTCCCTGGGCCGAGAATGCACAGGGAATCCAGAGGGATGCTCCAGACACATCCTCAGAGGCTGAGAGCCCAAGTCCTGTGCTCTGACTCCCCTTCAATTCCAGGAATGGCCCGGTGCCTTCTGAGGCGCTCGAGGAATTTGGCCGGGGATCACAGACTTCAGGACTGAATTGTTCCTCCTTGGCCCTGCTCGCTCCCTGGTGCCCTTCTCTTGGTCACTGGAGCACTCTTAACAGTTTCTGTTCAGGTCCACTCTTTTACTTTTATTTACTTATTGACTCTTTTTTTGGTTGTGCTGGGGATTGACCCCAGGCCTTGCACTGCCAGAGACGAGCACTTTACTCCTGGAGTGAGAGATCTTGCCCTGGACCATCACCTCCTCTCAGCCTGGCCCCTTCTCTTTCATCCCCAGGCAGGTGAATTTCCACGGTCTTCTCAGCTTCCAGGGCAATTCACACCACATTTAAACAGGCCTGAAGGAGGCCAGTGCCAGGTAATCAGGTGTTTTTTTTTTTCAAAACACATCTGTGTTTTTCTTGTGGCCATCAGGGTTTTAGGATTGGAGAGGAGGCAGAGCTAGGAACATGTGTACTTCAATCCCTCGTGGCTTCCCACTGTTCCAGGGAGAGGGTTCCCTTCCCTGTTTCATGTCTCCATGGCCATCTCTTTCTGAGTCCTCCTTCCTGCCAACTGAACACTTGGGCATTTCTCAGAGGGGCCCTATATTCTGTTGTGTCCAGGTATATGTGCCTGCCAGAATCTCTTCCAGCCTTCTCTTCACCTGGCTAAAGCTAAATCACCCTAGTTTAGAATACGGGAGAAACTTCCTGACCCCCTCAACTCGTCGAGCCACTACTTCAACATAGATTTGCACCTGACATTGTAGTAAGTGCTCAATAAATTCTGATATTTTATAAATTCTTCTGATAAATGAATGAATGGAAAGAGAAGCTAAAAATCAATATGAGCATTTTTTTTTTTAAATTTAGGGCCAGATGGGCAAAAGTCCCTCACCATAAAGAAGAGAAGAGAAGAATAATAGACAATGCATTTCTTAAGGTTTGATGTGTTTTTTGCTTAAGGCAATATTCAGGCCAGGCCAACCAGGTCAATCAACTGAAGCAATAATGTGTTTGACAGTAGTCACCTTCTGGCTCAGGGTGCAAAAGGAATATATGAGCCATGTGGACTGAGACTGAAAGGGAGCTGGGTTCATCCAGGCAGAAGGGTGACAAGAGGGCACAGCCAGGAAAACTAACCACATGGCGAACACCCAGCTTGAATGAAGAAACTAAACCACAAGAACACTTTTGCTCTGCCTTGGTGGACACAGGTGATCCTGGGCAAGTCTTTTAACCTCTGCACCTACATTTTTGTTGTTCACAAAAATAACGAGTGGGGACACTGGGAGAAAAAAGATATTCGCCAGTTTTATGTATGGCCAGGGACCCCACACAATAGTGGGATTATTAATGATCCATGATGCTATCCCCAGCTGTTCCCCAGTAAGATTTTATTAGTCCTACGGCTATTTCCTGATTCATTTCCATTCAGGAAGCTTGAAATAATGGTTAGCAGAGGGGCACATTGCAAAAATAAAAATCTTCACTCTTTTAACTTTTCCATCCTCCAGTTCCACTGCCCACCCTCCCTTCTCGCTCCCCAGCTTCAGCTGGAGTTCTGCCATCCCTGTGATCAGCCACACAATGGGGAGAACAGTGCTCACTGGGATGGAGACTGTGGGCAGGGGGAGTTCTGGCTCAGTGTGTCTGTTGAGTGTCATGTCCTTTTGCGGTGCCCTCGCAAACAGAAGTGAGGAAACAGGCCGTCATTTATCATGCGGCTCTGCAGTGAATGCTGATAATGCAAAACAGCCCAGTTGCTCCTGAGGTCACTCCATGAAGTACCCAGTCAGCTGTTGGGCCCAGCCGGAAAGGGAGGCTCTCCATGGGCCCTTCTGCTGGGGTCTCCCTGCAGTAACAGCGGCCCACTTGTTGATGGATGGAGCCCGCCATTTGCTTCCTGCCCCCCAGGTACACAGCCTCCTGACTGTGTATATTGACAGTTTGGGGTCCCTAGGGGGAGCTGGAGACTTCTCCCATCCCAGCCCACTTGTGCCCTGCTTCTCCCCAAGCCAGGCACACCTGCAGGAGGAGGTGACAGAAGCCAGAGATTTTTGGCATGATGGTGGCTTCATGGTACTAGAACCAATCACCGGGGCAGGAAAATGGAACAATCTGGCTAATGAGCCCCGGGTCAGCTGCTCACTCTGGATTGAGAATGAGGCGAACTCAGCTGCCTCCAAACCACAGAGACGCTGTTTCCAGGAACCAGTGAAAGGGCAGTGTGGGGGACACCGTGGAGACTGGCTATGATGTCTCCTATTGCCCTGAATTTCCTCTGCCCAATCAGCCTAGCACAGCATCCGCCATCATGCTTTGGCCCAAAGGACGGTTCAACCAATGACTTCACCAGCAAGAAAACACTGGAAGCCACCAATGAACACATGGTTACAGCCATGCAAAGGCTTCTTCGCAAAAAGAAGATGCCAGGCCAAGGGCTTTGCTAAAATGAGGACTGGTCCAGCCTCTTACGTTCACTCAGCCACTTCTCTCCTTTTGCTCTTTGCTGCTCTTCTCCATGTCACAATGACCTCCAGGTGGCTATGTCCTGGGTCCATTTCTCAGGCCTCATCTGATCTGCCCAGTTAGCAGCACCTGACCCAGCTGATAACTTCCTTTCCTTGAAACACTTTTCTCTCTGGCTTTCCTCCTACCCCACTGGCCATTCTGTCCTGGATTCTTTAGATGCTTCTCCTCATCCCCCCAGACTCTGCCTGGGGATCAGCATACAGACCTCTTCTTCTCTGTCCATGCTCACTCTCCAGGTGACCTTACCCAGGTTTGGGCTTCCCCAGTGTCCACGTGCATCGACTCCAAGGTGTGTGCCTGGCTCCAACACTTCCCTATATACATACATATGTAGGGAAGTGTTGGAGCCAAGCTTATATATATATATATATATATATTTTTTTTTTTTTAAAGAACATAAACATTATTGTATGATTTCTTGAAATCCAAAGAATCATATATGGGATTGATTTTTGATTTAGTAACAGGCAAAATGAAATTCCAAGTTCTGAGGCCAATTCTTGGTGAAGTGGGAACCAGGAAGATTTCTACTCTTGTCACCTACGAGCTCAACAGTTTTGAGTAGCTTCCCACTACCGCTGGTGCTTTAAGGGTCCAAGTTCATACCTCTGTCATCCATCTTTTCTAGATTGCCCCCCATACCAGCACAATATATTTCCATTCTAGCTCCTCTGATATCTCCACTGTGTCCCTAAAGGGCTTGAACTTATCCTTCTCTGTATTCTTTCTTACTGTTTTTTCTGATGTGAAACATCTTCTTCCATTTCCTCCATCCATCTACTCAACTACTTCACTGCTGCTGTGAAGGAGCCCACAGCGGAGAGTCTGCCACCAAAATTCACGATTCACATCTAGGTTCTGCCCCAACTGGTCACATGACTTTGCACAAGTCGGGCAACCTCTCCGCACCTCAGTTTCTTTCTCTGTAAAATAATGACATTAACATTATAGGGTATTTGACAATTAACTATATTAAGTAGTGAAACAGGGTAGTGTTTGCTGTTGTTAACAATCTTCATTTTCAGTCCTCTTGATTTTGTCAGGTGAAATATGACAGCTGGATTTCTTTCCAGATGCTTCAGACATAGAGTTTAATGTCATTAAGTAATGAATATACCACGTTTTTTCCTCCTCAATTTGGAAGTACAGGTGAATCAAATCCATGATAAGGAATCCTTGGTACTATAAATAATTTCATTGACTTTTTTTTTGTTTCTGAACATACTGTCTAAACCACAGTGCAAATGTTACATTGAATTGAATTCAACTCTCATTTACTGGATCCAATTTAATCCAATCCACTATGAGGAGCAAAAGGATTAAAACAAGGTCCTGACCTTATAGAAGCACTACATATTCTGGAAGATTAACATATACCACCCACAGGGACTGGCTGGGAGTCTCTCCCCTCCCGAGGATGCCAACATTCTTCAATATTCAAATCCCTTATAGAAAATGGTGTGCTATTTTCAAATGACATATGCACATCCTCCTGTATTCTCTAATCATCTCTAGATGACTTATAACACCTAAGACAATGCCTTTGTTGTGTAAATAGCTATTATGCTTATTATATAGGCAATAATGACAAATAATAAAAGTCTTTATATCTTCACTACAGGTACAATTTTTAAAACTTTTTTTCTAAGCCAGACGTAGTGGCATACACCTATAATCCCAAGGCTCAGGAGGCAGGAGGATGGCAAATTCAAAGCCAGCCTTAGGCACTTAGCAACTCAGCAAGACCGTGTATCTAAATAAAATATAAAAAGGGCTAGGGATGTGGCTCAGTGGTTAAACACTCCTGGATTCAATCCCTGGTACCAAAAATAATAAATAAATAAAGATTCTATTGGTTGTGGGTGTGTACAGAGCCCACTGTATACAATTAACTTCCTGTACACCATGTGGTTCTATAATGTGTATCTTCAGGGGTTTCCGTTTTCCTCCCAGTCACATCTTTTTATTATTTTGAACTTAGATGCATTTGTTCTCAGGAGCCAGTTTCTCGTTTTAATATGGCACACAAGACATTAGCTGAAGTCTATTACTATCTACTCAATGAAATTGTTTCTGAAACCCTGCCTGTTAATCTTTAACCTTGAGGTCCCTGCATAGTTTCCATGTTCATTAAATGATTAACTCACTTGCGGGAGGTATTTATGGTCCTTGGCTCAGCCTGAGCCTGCCTGTCCCAGGCAAGAGACAGAGATGGTTCCAGAATGGTCTCCCCAGCCCTCTCCTTGGATGCCTCTGGCTGCCCCATTTCTCTTCCCTGCCCTAGTCAACCCTCCATGTTCTTCTCCACCCTCACTTTAGCCTCTCTTATTGCCTGTGCTCCTCATTGTGGTGAGAATTTGACTTTGCAGTCAATTTTATAAATGTTTAATCAGGTGTGCAGGTGAAACGATGAAAAATGAAGGGTGGGTGTTTTAAAATATTTATTCTGAAAACAAATTTAGCCATATTCAATCCAGCCTTTTCCCCAGGGGCCTGGGCTCCAACGTTCTCTTGTTCTACAACAGCCGGAGACACTCAGTCCTTGAAGGTGAATCCTGGAACTACAGCTTAATACCCATGAAATTAATTGTTTTTTCACGCTGAATAGTGTCCTCACCCTCTACTTTGTATAAACAGGCACTGAGATGCTTTATATGCCAGGCTTGTTTTACTTCGGAAAGACGATCCTTAAAGTAACTTCAGAAAATAGAAGGTCAACTCTAGAGATAAAAGGAAGCCACGATTATGTAAAAAATCCCTTCACTAAACTAAGACGTTGTTGACAGAAGTTGTAAAATAATCTTCCTCTGATGCAAGTTTTAAAGTATCTTAGAACAACAGGATTTATAAGGAAAATGCCTATGGTCATCTTTAGGTAGTATCTTGGCTCATTTTCCTCAAGGGAGGTTAGGGTGAACAAAGTACTTCTATTACCTGGTACTGGGCCACTTTAGAACATAAAATCCTGAGTATCTATGAGTATTTAACTACTGCAAGGGACAAAGAAATGCAGGTTGCTAGCATGGATGACAATGATTGTGACTATGTTTTGTTTTGTTTTGTTTTGTTTTTCCTGGAAAGTCAACAATGCTGACTCAGACCAAGTGGTGGCTTCATGTTGCTTTGGAAATCCTCCAATACATAAGCTTCAACTTTGAGGTATCTTTGTAGTCCAAGGTTGGGGGTTATGGGCTAACTTTTCCAAACTGGTATTCAATGCACTTGGTCCCAGGCTAACAATGACAAGGGAAGATGTCACACAGCTTACGAATATGGCTGGATGGAAGATTATGTGAACCACTACAATTCATCCTGGGCATTTTGGAAGACTCTTTTTCCCTTTGAGGATATATACCTAAGTTATGGCCACAGACCAGCAAAGACTTCCCCTTTTCTAACCATTTCAATGGTCCACACCATGTACAAAAGATGAGAGAAATCTGCATGATGACCCAGGCCAGGTACTAGTGAAACAGGAATTTGAGATCACAAGCCTCAAAAAGATGAGTTAGATACATGAGAACATCATGGACAGAAAGGGCCACTGAAGCAGCAGGGATCTCCTTCCATGGGGCTCAGGAAGAAAGAGTTGCGTCAGGCAAGATTGAACCTTCAGCAGATTGGGCTACAGTTTTCAAGGGCCACCTAAAAGGGGATAATCCACGTGTTCTGCTGAATAATGGTTTTTAAGAATTTCATCAAAGTGAAAGAGGAACCTATTTAGCCCGAGTCTATCAGATTTATACCTGAAAGGAAGTTAAAACCTAAGTCATTAAAATGAAGGTCAGTTTCTTATACCTCAATGAAAGGTACTGGAAACCTTGCTAGAAGGTAATACAAAGATATTCTTGTGGAAAAGAAAATAAATATCTCTGGGTGAGATGTTAACATCAAAGCAAAAAAAAAGTACTAATCAATTTAAAGAAAGAAAGAAGATTCTGTAACATCTTTTTTTTTTACATTACCTTATTTCTTGTGTGTGTGTGTGTGTGTGTGTGTGTGTGTGTTGGGGGATACCAGGTATTGAACTCAGGGGCACTCGACCACTGAGCAATATCCCCAGCCCTATTTTGTATTTTATTTAGAGACAGGGTCTCACTGAGTTGCTTAGCACCTTGTTTTTGCTGAGACTGTCTTTGAACTCGCAATCCTCCTGCCTCAGCCTCTCGAGCTGCTGTCATTATAGGCGTGTGCCACTGTACCTGGCCATAGATAGTTTGTACACTTAAATCAGATATAATTATTATTAATTTGATAATTAAAAATCCTAGCTATTTCTACGACATATTGTCTCCACTTGATATAATAATCTCTGTGTGGATGAAAGAGGAGAAAAACCCGGGGAATGCTTTGAAGACATAAGTATGAGGCCTCTCTGTTCCTGAGTAATGGGACAGACAGTGACCCAAGGAGGAACCATCCTGCATGTGGGTGCTAATGAGCTCACAGAAATGAGATCTTTTGCTGCTTCCAAAGCCCCTATCCACTGAGTTACAGGCACTCTACTCCTGGCACCATGCAAGAGTCTCTCCCCTGGAAACTCAGGGAACCCCTAGAGTGCCACTACAGAGCAGGCTAAGGCTGTCCTTCAGTGACACTGCTCCCAGCCCTCAGGTTCTGGCTCCTGCATTACATACTCCCGGGCTCCACCAGCTCCGCTGCATCTCTCAGCTGTTTCTTCTGAGCTGATGATTATCTGAGCCGCTGCTGCCCTCCTCTCCCCTCCATGGACCTGAGCTCTGAGCTCTATATCCAAATGCCTTTTAGATATCATCACAGAATGTCTCAAAGTTCTGTCAAACACTAAATATCCTAAATATTTTTTTCTCCCCCTCTCCCCAAATCTCCTCCATGGGCTGAATTCTGATGAATGAATGGCACCAGCACTCAAGTCAGTGACTCAAGACAGAGTCATCCTCTCTTGGGCTTCTTCAACCAGACACCAAGCTCTACTCATTCTGCCTCCAGACTCTCATCTCTCTCCTCTCTGTTCCCTGAAGAGTGACTGAATAAACCAGATGCCCTTGAGCTCCATCCACATTCCCACTTATCGGTAAATGCTCTGTAACCTTCCTCCTTGTTGTTGCCTTCCATGTTTCTTACCAGGATCATCTTTCCAAAATGTATATTGCATCAAGTTAGCACATTTCCCAGAGTGATCTTGGGTTTGTCATTAAAAGCCCTTCATAATTTGTCCTTTACTCACTTTTCCACTGGAATTGAATCATTGGCTCATGTACACTTCTTTAAATCTCCGGACTCCACAACAGCAGTGAGGGATGGTATACAACACCGGGGCTCAGGACATTGGCAGTGAATATAGAGTTGTGTTTTCTGAGAAGAAAGTTAGATGACAACTTTGATATGTCAAAGGAAAAACAAAAAATGGTTTACTATTTGAGATAAACAACAGTCTTGGAGACACCAGTGAACACCAGCAACTATGGGCTTCCATGTTTCATATTTCAACCAATGAAACAAAACGAAACAAATAGCTTCAGAAAGCAAATGGCATTATGGAGAATGTAGGATAAGAATGCAACCTGCAGGAGAGGCAAGGCTGAATGAATGTCAGTCAAGGCCTATAACATGTGACTCTTCAAAACAAGACCCTTGGCTTAATGAGAAACTTATCCCATCTATGTATGATATATATCAAAGTGCATAAATGCATCTACTGTCATGTATAACTAAGTAAAACAAACTTTAAAATTAAAAAAAAAATGAAAGAATAGGGTGTTATCAAAAAACATGGAGCCTTAAGTTTGATATGAGTGGTAGTTCACATTTTAAAAGTTTGGATATTTGAGCTGAAGAGATAAAGGTAAAAACTTCATGAAAAGTTCCAATAATAAAATCAAAGGTGATATCAAGTTAGAATAAAAAATTATGGGTGGAGAAAAAAATGTCTAAATTAAAATATGAAACTTCCATGGGAAAAAATACTTCACAGTACAGTTAGTTATTACACAAAATCCTCATTGCATATGACCCTGATGCCATCAAGATAAAACCAAAGAAACTAGGCTGAAACATGAAAAGAAGTAACTATGGGACTGGTCTGCCTTAGCATTTCTAAGTGTGAGTGGATAAGAGGAACATGACATTAGAAAATAGAAGGATCAATAGTAGTTTCTGAAGAGAGCTATTTGTTCTCTCCTAGATGAAGTAGAATCTGTCAAATACAGATAGTGGGTTAATAGCAGGGTAGATATAAGCTGTCTTCTTCTGCATTCTTCAGATTAAAGGAATTTCTCAATCATTTCAATGAAATATTTACATTGAGACAGTGCAGATTTCTTATTTGTTTGAATATAGACTTAAAAATAAAAAATTAATAATAAAAAAGCATCATACTATTTAAAATATTGCAGAAGAAAAACCACAGTGAAAAAAATTGCAGAGAGATAGCACAACACTTGAAAACTTTATTAGTGACACACATAAACCTAAGAAAAATGGCAGCACTGTTTTACATGGATTACATGGTTAGTAAATGCACAGATATTACAACAAATAAGGTACTTTATTTACTTTGAAATAGACCTGAAGTTTGCTAGTAGAACTGGGTATCAGAAAAGTTGTAGCTCATGGATTCATGGGAAATGGTGGACAGAAGGTTATCTTAAATTGGGTGGATAAGGGTGGGTCTTGTTTATAACATAGGTGGCTAACTGAAGTAGTTAGTTGGTAGATGTTTGAGATGTGTGGCTGTGTGCTTTTGGTATATTATTACATGACTCATTTCAGCTGGGTGCAGCTTTCTGCATTCACCTAGTGTTTTGCACAGACAAAAATTGTGCATAAGAAAACGTAAAATTCAAATTGTTGCCTAATGTGTCAATTATGTTGTAATAAATTCATATTTCCAAAAAAAAAAAAAAGAACCAATAGAGACCAAGAAACAGATGAAAGTGATAATACTACCCCACGCTGCAGGATCTAGGAAAACTTTCTATCAATGTCAGGGTACACGGAAGTGCACTGAGGAAACAAAATGGTGGTCCACCCAGCTCTCCCTCATGAAGCAGAACGTGTCCCTTGATCAGAGACACAGTCTGTCTAAGCAGAATTTGATTTGTGTGTGTTTTCTTCTGAGATAAACAGAATTGTTTCTTCTGTCTCCCCATCTCAGATTTCTAGAACTATTTGGAAACCATAACTTACCTAAAACAATCTGATGTGTGTGTGTGTGTGTGTGTGTGTGTAGTAAATGCATGCTACGAAGTCGGTTCCTCATGAGTAATAGTGATGGAGGTGTGAGTGAAAAACATTGTAACAATTATGGTCCTTTTAATACAGATTGAGCAACCCTAACCCCAAAATCCAAAAATCTAAAATGCTCCAAAATCCAAGAGTTTTGAATGCTGACATGGTGTCACAAGTGGGAAATTCCCTATTATAAAACATTGTTTCATGTTCAAAACTATTATAAATAAAATTACCTTCAGGCTCTGTGTATAAAATACAAATGAGCCATGAATGAATTTTATGTTTTGATTGGGTCCCCTTCTCAAGATACCTAATTATATTTATGCAAATATTCCAAAGTTTAAAATAATCTAAATTCAAAATGTTTCCAAATCATTTCAGATAAGGAATATTCAACCTATGATCATAAGAGAAGTAAGGCAAATATTATTTTATAGCACTTAATATGCCTGTATGTACAAATCGGTTTTTAGAACAATGCTATAGTAGAATAGCATACACTACATTATGAGAAAAATAGATTTAAAATTCCAAAATCTCAGTAACTAAGTTACCCCAATACAAGTTTATTTCTTGTTTATTGGAAGTTTGACTCAGGTAAGTAGTGATCTCCTCCACCTTATAACTCAGGGTTCAGGCTCTCTCCATGCTGGGATGCCACCCCAGGGCACTGTGGCAGAAAGCAAACCAGCTTGACCCCCTGAGCCTAATAATGACACAGACACTGCCACCCTTGGTGAACTGGCCAGAACTCATCACAGGAGAGGGTCTAAGAAATGCTAGCTCATGGATATGCCAGGGAGCACTAATTGTCTCTTTCTCAACCTCGGTGACAAAGGTGATAACATAATCCTCGTGATTTTTACAGATGATAAGAAACTGGCAAAAGGAAAAAAAAAAATAATGAATCCAAATTCACGCTGTGAGTAAGTGGCAGACCTGATATTTAAACTAGATGATCTGGCATCAGAATCCATGCTCTCAAATATTATGTTGTGTTGCCTTAGAAAGTAACAGACACACAAAAGTCATATTTGTAACAGAGAAACTATGAATGAGAATAGAAAATCCTCTCTTGAAACCCAGAACCACATAACTTGGTACTGGCTGGACACTGGCAATTGAGCAGCAAAATGTACAGTGGCTTTCTGTGGAGCTGAAGGCAGTCAACCAGCGGCTGGTAGTCAGCACCCCAGGGAAAGCCCTGCCTGGTACCTACTGGCAAAACAGCAAGACATGCCTGTCTAGACACAGCTTGTCTTGCTGAGATGAAGTAGGGTGGGGAAAAGCAGATTGACACACATAGGAAAGTCCAGTGTTAAAAAACCCAAGATAAAGGGAACAGGAGATTGGCAAATGTAGGGGTCTGCTCTAGAAAGGTGAGCTAACTTTTCTGTAAAGGTCTAGAGCAAGTATTTTAGGCTTTACAGTTTCTGTCATAGTTCCCTAACTCCACAGAGCTGCAAGGAGACCATATATAAAGGATAGTGTGTGGCTATGCCCTGCAAAAGCAGACTGTGGGCCAGATGGGTCCCTGGGCTCCATGGTTTGCCAACTTCTGCCCTAAAACAAACAAACAAAAAAACTACCTAGACGTCACAGAGAGTATTAATCTATAGGATATATAAAGAACTCAAAACACTTAACACCAGAAAACCAAATAATCCAATCAATAAATGGGCAAAGGAACTTAAAAGATACTTTGTAGAAGAAATATGAATGGTCAATAAATATATGAAAAAAATGTTCAACCTCTCTAGCAATTAGAGAAAGCAAATTAAAACACTGATATTCCATCTCAATCCAGTCAGAATGGCAATTATCAAGAATAAAACAATAATAAGTATTGGCGAGGATGTGGGAAAAAGATAACTCATACATTGCTGGTGGGGTTGCAAATTGGTGCACCCACTCTGGAAAGCAGTATGGAGATTCCCCAGAAAACTTGGAATGGAATCACCATTTGGTTGGTTTCCAGCTATTCTACTCCTTGGTTTATACCCAAAGGACTTAAAATCAGCATACTACAATGACATAGCCATATCAATGTCATAGCAGCTCAATTTATAACGGCTAAACTATGAACCCAACCTGTGTGCCCTTCAACAGATGAATGGATGAAAAAAATGTGGTATAGCTACATGATGAAATATTACTTATCCTGAAGAAGAATGAAATTATGGCATTTGATGATATATTGATGGAACTGGAGAATATCATACTAAGTGAAATAAGTCAATTCCCCCCCCCCAAAAAAAAACAAAGGCCAAATGTTCTCTCTGACACACAGATGCTAACAATAAGGGGGAGGAGGGAAGAATAAAAGTTCAGTGGGTAGACAAAAGGGAATGAAGGGAAGGGAGGAGAATAGGAAAGACAGTAGAATGAATCAAACATAACTTTCCTATGTTCATATATGAATACATCACCTGTGTAACTCCACAACATGTACAACCACAAAAATTGGATCCTAATTAGAATAAGTTATTCTCCATGTATGTATATTATGCAGGATACACTCTACTATCATGTATATCTAAAAAGAACAAATTTTAAAAATTAAAAATAAAGGAAAGGTAACTAAAATTCAATATAAATGATCAGTAAACACTTGAAAAATACTCAATTTTATAAGAACACAAGAATTACAAATCTAAAGAGTAATGTGACTATTATTCGTGAGCAACTGAAAGTTTTTTTTTAAATACTTATTGTTAGAGAGGATCCAGTGATATGATTTTTATACATTTTTGATAAGAGTGAAAATAAATATTATTTTTCTTGAATTTAATTTAATAGGTCAAGAAACTTGAAGACATTATATACTTAAAATTCTATTTCCTATTAGGTGCTGCAGAACTTTTTATAAGAATTATTATCCCAACATTACTTAAACAATTTTAAAAAGAAAAACGTTTGAACTATTAACAATAGGAAAATAGATAAATAAAATATGGTGCATCCATGAAACAGAATATTGTAACTCATCAAAATTTCATTTTTTAAAACTATTTAGAGATAAGAAAAATAATATGCTAAAATACTAAGTGAAAATAGGATAGAAAATTATGTACATAAATATGTATAATAATATACATGCATAGATATGTGCCAATTTTTAA